CCGGAGCAGCTCAGGCTCTGACAAGATTTGCCATGGCAAGCGAGGAAAAGGCGGACTGTACTAGCCTGACCTCGCCTGAGCCGAGAGGCTTTACAACAACTACAACAACTACTACAACAACTACTACAACAACTACAACAACAACTACAACAACAACTACTACTACTACTACTGCTACTGCTATTACTACTACTACTACTACTACTACTAACTACTAACTACTACCTACTACCTACTACCTACTACCTACTACCTACTACCTACTACCTACTACCTACTACTACTACCTACTACCTACACCTACTACTACTACTACTACTACTACTACTACTACTAACTACTACTAACTACTACTACTAACTACTACTTCTACTACTACTACTACTACCACCACTACCACTACCACTACCACTACCACTACCACTACGACTACGACTACGACTACGACTACGACTACTACTACTACTACTACTACTTCAACATCACCACCAATATCGACGCGCTTACCTCTACAGATCCTCATTATGGAACACCTACAAGATCCTACAAGGACTACATATTCATAGGCACGTATGGGTGCCGTAACCAAGCTCTTAGGCACAAGTGCGCATGACGATGCGGAAGACAATTGACAAGAGCATTCAGGGACGGCTGCGCGCCTATCCTTAAATTGATGATGTACGCAATCCCTTGCCTGCATCAATCGATCCCGTGAGCGCGCGCGGGCGGGCGCGTGTGTGTGCGCCTTTGCTTGTTTACTTGCTTGGTTGTTTGTTCTACTTGCTTGCTTACTTGTTTTTTTTATGTGGATGAGGGTTCAGCTGTCGGTCCTGAGACGATCAGCTGGCCTTTTTTGACTTGCAGGTGGAGCTGCAGGTGGCCACGAAGGCCCAGGAAGCGAGCCGCGAGGCATCGGTTGACGATCGTCAGTAAGGGGATAGAGGTTTAGTGAAGCAAGCCCGTTGTTGTTAAAAGGGTGAGATGGTATGTTTGACATGCAGGCTCGCTCACGGCAGCTGCTGTTTCGCAGCTTGCCTCAACTGTTTGCAGCGCAACATATCTTGACAGCAGCGATGGTGTGCGTGTGATGGGACGGGAAACGCTTCTCATGTAACCGAGGCTGGACGATCTTCATGCTGGGACTCCGTTGGACATCGGATTGCAAGGCATATTTTCGCTGCCGTTTGCTATGAGCTTTGAAATGTGAAGACCGTGAAGTGTTCTCGATGAGCTGTTGCCAGCATGTTTGCGATGCAGCGATGCAGTTGTCAGGAATACACCAGCCAAGTGGCTGTATCTCTGGGTCTCGTCAAGGAGGATCCTTCTTCGTCAGACGTCCTTTGCGAAATTTCATGCAACGCAGACACTTCTGGCTCGTGTTGTTGGACAGGACTCGCAGAGGAAGGGCAAGTCAAGAATTCTGGAGCTTCGATGGACAACGTTGTGCACCAAGCTGGTGTCGGAAGACAAGGCCGCCTTCTACAGTTGATGCCTTGATTTGCTAAAGAGTTCCGTGCTTGTCTCCTGCCAGGCCTCCGACCGCCTGACGCAAGTTGGTCGCTTGTCCCTAGCTGCTTCGTCCAAGCATCAACAAGTCATGTCTCGAGCGTTGCGGGGAGCAGCAGCTTCCTCTGCTTTGACCACAAGCTGGGCCCGATTGTTTCTGGTATTGCAACGAGCAGCAGCAGAGGAGGAGCATGCCACCGCATTCGCGAACTATTCGGCTGCTGCAACCAGCAAGTTCCGAAACCGCGTTCAGGCATTCTCAGCTGCTGGAAGATTTTGGTCGATCATCCCGAAATGGATAGGTTTAGTCTTCCAGTTGCTTGGGGAATTTTGCATCAGCGAACGCATCTCCGGGACCGCCAGCATGGCTCGCACGTTTAAAGCCCGGCTTGGTGACTTGCAAGGGGAATGTCGCACTTCGTTGGAGACGGCCACACGGCAGAATGAAGCAGCGCTAGATTGGGCGCGATTTATGTTGCAGCTTGCGGCCAGGAAGATGCTGCCTCGCGCATGGGCAAGTCAGCATCGGGAGATTGCCGAGTGGGTGGCCGTGCAGTGCACCTCCATACGGCAAGACAGGGCAACTGAAGTTGCAACCGAGCTGCGTCATCGCTTCCTGAGAGAAGTTTGGTCTCGCCTGGCTTTGCTGCAGCTTCATGCCAGGGAGGCCCATGAGCAGCAAGCTAGCAGACTCCAACAAACAAGATCAATGAAGCAAGCCGCCTCTTCAGCAATGGTGACAATAGAAGAGTTACGTGCAGAGCTGCAGCATTGCAAGGGTCAGTTGGAGGCTGAGCGCCGTCTTTCTCGGGAGGAGCGTTGGTCCCGCATGGCCTTGAGCGTTTTACGTGACCAGCAGTCAGCTGCAAGCTGCGGAGCTCTGAAGCACATCACAAGCCGGGCGGCTTCTCAAAGAAGGACATCCGTCCTCCACTTGCAGGAGGTGGAAGTCCAGCGTCAAGAAGAAATCGATATGGTCACGGCAAAGGCGGCTGCAGAAGTAGCTACAGTAGGAGTTCAGGAAGCTGCAATCCGAAGGTGGCAGCTGCTTGTGCTCTTCACGTCGCAGACGCAGTTCCGATTGTGCAATCAATACGTGCTCAATGCTGTTGCCACGCAACAGCGAGCTGCCCAACAAATCGCACTGGAAAACTCGGCCATGCGGCCACACTTAGCCGGTTTGCAAGCAGAAGTGGCACTGGCTTGGTGGGCGAGGTTTGCCACCTACCTTCACTTGCAGGCCTCTGCTTACAGGACTCGGAAAACGCTATCTGATCTCCTCACGGCGGCACAGGCATCACCCAAAACCTCTGATCACTGGCGTCGCATGTGTGAGCTTTTGCTGAAAAGTGGGACTTCTAGCGTGCTGTACTTATTGCGCGATTCCCGGCAACTGCAAAGCGCACGACATGTTCGCAAGTCCCGGCAAGTCGGCAACCTGAGCGAAGCCGTTAGGGCGCATGCCGCACATGCTCTATCAGCCCACCAGGTGCTCTTCCAAGAGTCCAAGAGAACTCTGTCGCATGTGCGGCGCTTCAGGAATCGGAATCTAGCACCACCCGGTCTGGAAGAGCAATGCGAGCAGGCTTTGCAAAAGTGCGAGTACATGCTGAAAGGCTAATATTCCTGAAGATCGGACAAAATTGGACATTGACCCAGCGACAATGCCGAGAAGCCTGTCGTCCTGAAGCCTGCGAATCCTGCGACACAAAGGAGCTGCGACCGCACGCTGCTCTGTGGCCCTGGTTGCCGTCCTCCAGAAACGGAGAACATGCTGCAAGTGAAGACAGCCTGAAGCCGATGAGCTGGCCGATGAACCAGGAGGAGTCGCAGGACAACAAGGCCATCTTGACGAGGAATTGAGCCCCATACATTGCTGCATACTGCAGCTGCATCTGAGCTTGTGTTCCTGAACCGAACAGTAGTAGCCTTAGTAGCCTGTGTCTCACTCCGGACTGCAGATGTGACTAGCCTGACTAGCCGTTGCCCTTGCGAGCTTCGTGGAGAAAGCGCTTATGGCTTATTGGGCCAGCTGACCTCCAGCCGGGATCCCGACATCGATGTAGCTGTAAAGCGTATAGCCGTGCGACTCGGAAGGTGCCTGTGGTGCAGGCGCTGGCCAGTCTTTGCTAGTCAAAGCGGTTCAGAATGCCAAACTCGCTAAGTTTACAGGCGCTGGCACGTAATGGAGTGTCTACGTTTTGGAGTGGTGGACATGGTGGACTGGTGACTTGCAGCAAAGAAGTGGAGCGCCGTTGCAGGTTGATGCGCATAATGTCGTCCCAGTCTGGGCTGCGCTGCAACCTTTGCATTTTGCGGCCGATGCATAGCGCTTGAGCTTGAGCTTAGCTTCAGCGGGCTTTGGTGATGGCATGTGCTAGCCAAGGTCAGACAAGCAAGAAACAGCTGCCGGGGCCTGAGCGGCAAAGCAAAACATCTCCTAACTTGTTGACTGAGGGTCCCCATGGTTTTCCCGACGGTTTTCTGCTGCCTCATGACATGGTTTTATGCAATTCATGTGGCCACACGATTCATAAAGCCCTTACCGGCCGGTAAGCCGCAGAAAGGGAAAATTGCTGAAAAATGTTGTAGTATTCAAACGAATTTCCTGGCTGCCGTTCCTATTTTCAGAGTGGCGGCGGCCCACGCCACACTCGAACTGCAGCGGCCAGCTCAAGCACAGACGCCCTAGTCACGATCCTGCATAGGTCTATGCTGGAATCAGACAGCCTCTACGGTATAGATGTGTCGAGACACGGTCGTGGTTTTGCGAGAGTGTTTTGACGTCCTACGGACAACACAGGCGCGAACCATCCGGAAAAAAATTATGCAGTCGTTGGGGCCTCTGGAGTGCAGTTTGTGCCTCATTCGTGTGAGCTTGACACTTGCGAGGTTGGGGACGTACTTGACGGACTTCCCCCGCGTGGAGAAACATCCACACAAGTCGAAGGAGCTCCGCATCACTAAGCCAGCAGCTGCTCACGTCAAATTCATTCACGACATGGAGGCGGGAAGTATGCGCAGCAAGACTTGTCCAGGGCAACTTTCAACCAGTCGATTGGGTACAAGCCGAGCAGTCTTTGCAGGCTGGCACCTGGTCCGATGTTGTGAGGTTACATGCTGAATCTGTCCGAGGTCGACGACTCCGTTCGGCCGGTGGCGGCGATCGTGTAGACGCCTAAGCCAAGCCGGCACAAGCCTACCAAATCTGGAATTGGGTTACTACCCGGTGTGCACCCGGCGAGCGGTTTCAGGCCGGGGACCGCAGCCGGCCTTGCAGCGCTGGAGGATTTCTGTAAGCGTTTATCTAGGCTGGGCCAGTCCAGGTCGAGTGCATTCCTGAGCAGAGTCCAAGCTTCAGATCGCTGGGCTATCCCCACCTTGTGCCGTTCTTGAGGTATGATGCGCATCGGAATGATCCAAATGCAGTGGTCCAAGCATGTCTTAGAGTTCAGTGTTGGATCAAGATCAGGGGCACATCAAAATTCTTGGCGATACTAGTAGCTTCAGGCACCAGGCCTCTTGCAACTTCTTACCCAACTGACCTCGACTGTTTGAATTGGATGCCACTCGTCGACATAAACACCATGGTCAGCTGCATTCCACGATGCCGTCGGGGCTGCAATCTGCAAGACTGCATCTGACAGTGTAGTGTTTGAACCCGCTAGGCTTCCACCAAGCAGGTGTCAGGGAGTTAAATATTCGAGACCCGCTGCTCAACAATAGGTACGCCTTCCCAAGTCTTTGGCACGTGCTGCCATACCACGGGGGTGCTTCAGCCGAAGCTGAGTAGCAGCCCAGCAAGATCAGAGCCTCAAGTGCTCAGCCGTGCTGTGCCATTGAGTGGGTAATGCTGCACCGACACAATCCCACCAAGACAACTAGTCTCGGACGGCCGGCATTGAATATGAAATGTTGGAGCAGTGAAGAACTGTCTGCTCAACGGTGGCCGGCCGTGCTGTTTTCTGTAAGGAGAACGCACTTTCGGGATTGTCGCCCTGGCTACATTTTGGAGCCTTGGCAGCCTTAGCTTTCGGAGCCAGAGGATCGATGCACCGTGAGATCGGAGTGCAGCATCTTTGGAATCTTTGGAGCGTTTCCGGCTCGAGCTCGCCCCTTGCCTGAAAAGCTGCACAGGTGGTGCACAGCGCCAGCATTTTGTGCATCAGGGCAGTGGTGCAGGACGACCTGTGGCATTCCATGGCTAGGCCATGATGATCTAAGTCCAATGTTCTCCAACGCCAGAACATGTGCCGCGATGGAGGGTAGTCAAGAGATTCCTTGTCGGTCTTTGCTCTCTGTGCTGGATAGGTGATCATGGGGAAGGCACTGGGAAGATAGTTTGCGACGCAACGACGGCAGTCAGGGCTAAGGTCATGCCAAATGCCGGCCCCGCATCTCACCAATTCAACTCCTTTTTGGAGCTGGGCCGGAGTGCCCACACAGCCCACACAGAAATTCTGCACGGAAGAGCCATGTCTCACCGGACTTCTCGTGACTTGTCGGCAAAGCCTCGTCGGACTGCTGGGCTTCAGTAGGTTCAGGAAGCGGGGCCCGCCATCTCCAGAAGCTCTTCCGCTCGGGCTTCGAGGGCCCCCATCCGTGGACGCAAGACAAAAGATAGTGCACATGGTGTGACATCGTTCTCTCTCGCAATATGCGTACTTGCCGACGAATGCCACGCATCTGCAGCTCAGGGCAGATCTCTGCACAAAGATGCGCACCGATCTTAAGGATGTGAAAGCATACCGATGGCAGCTGAATGTTGTTGGCAGAGTGAGTGAAGGTACCGAGGAATCGTTGGAAGACGCCGGTTGCTACAGTACTCATTCCAGCTAGCTGACACATTGCGGAGGCTTTGCGGGTGCGTCTGATCGGGGAGATCAAGACAGCCACATCAAGCGAAAAGAAGAGTTGCCGCCTCCTGAGAAAGTCCTCTGAACTCACTTGGGACAGGGTCCTGCGTCGGAATCGTGGCAAGTGAACAGAGAGCATCGACTGAATCGTCACGTCCAGTGAGATTTCCCCTTTGTTCACTCCTTCAGCTGAGACTGTGCTTTCACCTTCCTGTAGATTTTGTGTCGAACTTGCTATTCACGTTTATGCTTTCTTTTCTGTTGGCAAAAAGGCTTTTGGGGGTTTTTCTGTCAAAGAAAACGGGGCCAGCTGTGCAGTCTTGCAACCAAGCGCGACGCTGCGTCCGCTGTGCCCGATTCGATGCGCCCAGCCTGGCCATACCTGGCCCATACCTGGCCAGGCCTGTAGCGATGCCTGGCGGATCTCGATCCCGGGTCTGTAACGTCACGCACAGACATGATGCAACAGTTCCTATCTGGTCCCTATCTGCCGTCTCGGACACGTCGTAGCAGTCAGCTTCAAGCTAAGACGCAGACTTTCCCGATTGAAGTGCCCTTTTCAGAAACTGGCCTGCCGTTTGAGAGGATCAGAAGCTTTCTCACTTAGTGATGGCATGCCTTCCTCCCGAACCACGAATTCAGTCCCTGGGTGGCCTCGAGATCTTCATGCCACTCCGAGTATGTGTATTTGTTGCCTCATGCAGATTCATTATGACATCTTGACTTGTCCCTCTGGATAGCTGACCTCGTCGTACTGATGAACCGTAGTTAATGTCCCGCAATCTTTCGAGACCAACCCGTGAGTCCAACTTGCGCCCGGTTCCAACCTCCCTGTACGGCAAAAGCAACCCTGGTCCCACATGTCCCGACGAAAAAGCGATGCTGGGAGGAAAGCCTCATTTTCGAGGTGTCGTCATAAGACGAATCGCAGCCGCTCCTGCCCGAGGAAGCTCCCAGGACCATCAGGACGCGGGGGCGACCAGTGACATCCCTTGAATGCAAGATTCAGAGGATGCCCATTTTTGGAATTCGGAGAGGCCCGCGGACCCTTCATTAGCAATTCGTTGCATATCGCTGCCCCCCATAATTGACTCAACCATCTTTGCATCTAGTGGTAGTCGCCCGTATCTTTGCATCTGAATTCGTGTATTCACGAATTCATTGGAATCCTGACCGTTTGTCGCATCTCCTGTCTCCTCCTCCTCCCTCTCTCGCTGCCACTCTCGCCTTGTACTCGGCCCTCCCGTTTCATATAGTGCCCAGCGGCTCTGACTTTTGTGGATCTTGCTGACGTCAAATTCAAACAGCTGGACATGGCTTCGCCCCCTCCATTTCTAGCTACAGTGGAGGACTTTTGATGCCTTGTCAGTACGCTGGAGAAGAGCCTCATACATTTCTCTGCTGCTGAGTATTGAAGCCGAAAACCTTTGCAGCGCTTAAACCACTGTTCCATCGTGGACTCCCACACACTCTGTGTGCCAGAGTTTACACTGCACAGTTCCTCTGGGAACGGAACATGACTGAGGCTTTTTGTGCACCATTCTCAGGCCGTTTGATGGTCAACGCGCCCTCAGACTTCGCCCGGCATGACAAGGCATGTTGAGGTACCAGCAGTACAAACAAAGAAGACCTGACCATTGTCGGACATGGAAGACAGGCCAGACTCTTTTCGCCTTGTTTTTCTGCAAGAGGGGCAATGGATGCCAGAGCAGAAACTCTGACCTCCCTGAAACCGCGCCCTGTGGAAGCGCATGACGACGCTTCGTATTCTCGGGCCACGGCTTTCGATAATTGTGCTCAGGGCAAACAAGTCTGAAGAGTGTCTGATGAGCGGGAAGTTTCCAAAGCTTCGCGTGGCCTCACTGCATCATGCTGTATGGGCATTCCTGGGATGATAACTTCAAGGAAGATACAATCTGCTTGGGACAGACCTGGCTCGACAACACAGGGACAGACCAGCCGCCCTCCTTGTCACCTGAGCCTTTGAGAAGTGTTCCCTTCGTGATTCAGATCCTAATTGAGTGCATGGGTGCCGTGCTTGGAGTCATGTTGACCGTGGAGCAGTTGTGCTAAATTTAAGAATTGAAGCAGACATCATGAATTGGGGCTCCTTCGTGACCCATTGGACTAGTTCGAGGGGCGATTTCTTTCAATCATGCTACAGGCGTTTTCTACGGCCTTGCAAACTTATGTCTTCTTATTAGTTTTCGTTGGGTATGTTCGGACTTGGTTTGTGTTCCTTGGAGAGGCTGCGACTCGCTGAACTTGTGCGTAATTTCCCGCTGGTTTGCAACGAGATTCCCGACTCGGCCTACCCAGGGGGTCGTTCGGGCTAGTCTTGGGATGGTTGCCGGCCGGCTGCATGCCGCGAGTCCTACACTGCCCTATGCCTTGTAACTTTATATAACTTTATCCACCTGGCCTACGTGGTTTTTCACGCGGAGGGTGCTTAGGCCTGGGACTTGCACGCGTCAAGTCCTCTGTCTTGAAGCGTAGTTTCCCTGCAGCGCGACCTGGTCAGCGAAGCGGGTGGGAAAAAACTTGCGCCCGGGAGCACCTCCAACGGCACTTTTCGGGAGCATCATGTTGGGAGGAAGAAATGCACGGGACTCTGGTGGGAGTGTCTGAGTCGTGCATTTTTCCCAACATCGCTCTTCAAGATGGCATCAGTGAAAAGAAGCGTGATGCTTCTTATCCGGAGCGGCGTTGCCAACCAAGTGGACAAGTCGGAGGTCAGTTCCTTCGCGAGGGAAGTCTGGACATGTCTGGGCCCAATCTAAGCTGCCGTCACAAGATCGTTTTCCACCTGCTTTTCATAGAGCGAAATGCAGGATTCTCCATGTCCAGATTTTGGTAAGCGAATCAAGGCCTCCCAACATAGGAATCTCCATCCCACCTCTTCTCTGTGCAGCGATGTCGCTCTGTGTTATCCAAATCCAAGTCGTCCTACCTTTTCGCCCACCCACCACTGCTAGCAAAGCGCGGTGACCTTGTAGCATCCTGTAGTGTGGGGGGGGGGGGGGCTGGAAATGGCACGGCCTGACACTGCATTGAGAGAAAATATCACCTGACTGCATCCTCTTGCGATCTGCGCAGAAGGTGAAGCTTTCATTGAGGAGAGTGTTGTGAGGCGGGAGCTGCCTGCGGCTCAGTCCTTTTTTCGGCCACCTTTGCGTTGCTACCTGCGGCCTGCTCAACGCAAGAACGCTTCAGGTCAGACAATTTCTGCTTCTACAATGCGTCTTGGCATTTTTTGGCGCGAGCAGTGCGCGAGCACTTTGCGTCCTGTCAGGTGAATTATGACAGCTTGGAAGGAGCGGCGGGCTGGGCTCAGCAAACTCTGAAGGACTGGACCTGTGGTATGTCTGGGGACGAAACGACGTAATGACTTGACAGGACCATTCCAAAGACAAGCGAGAGCACTTGTATTGCAAGGAGGTGAGGCTGGACGTCTCGCCTACATGCTGGAAACTGTTCTATCCCTCGCATGCAGGACCTAGAGAATGCGAAGACTCATGACGCACCTTGGTCGAAGCACTTCAGCAAGTTGGAGAGGGTTTGTCCACGTTGAAGGAAAGGTCCTTGAGGCGTTTCAATACGAGGATAAGGCACAGAGGTGAATGCCTTGAAGGATCTGTGGAATGCAGCTCAGCTGCAGATGGTTCGCGAGGCCAGGCACCCTGCCACGGCGCGATCTTAAGAGGTTGAGTCTGGATCCACCTTATTCACAAGCTACGGCCTGAAAGGCTGTCAACAAGCCCGTTTGCTGCCAACCTTCTGTTCAAGGTCCCTTCAAAACAACATGCGACCGCAATTCACCACTTGACCGCGACGGCCGTCCGGAGTCTACAGCAGGTATGCTAGTGCGATAACATGACACCTTCTTCAGACCTGCTTGCCTGTCTTAGCAGTGGCATTCTCCGGTAGAAGCCCATGGACCTTCCGCAAGTGTCAAAACTGCGGTGATCTCGTGAGCCTCCCAGCTTTCCCATTCCTTCGCGGAAAGCGCCGCTGACCAGAAGCAGAAGTTGTGGCACGGCCGCAGAAGTAAAGCGACAATGATTGCTAACTCGGGAACATGGTGTGCCAAGTTTCCGAAATCAAGTTAGCTTACTCAGCTTGCATTGCAGCTTGGCTCAAAACCCTTTACCGGATGTCTCGTCACATCACTTCCAGAAGCTGGCGACTTGTCTCAGATCGTGTGCCGTCAAGTGCTGCAAGAATGTCGGGAGAACTTCGAAGCTTGTCCCAAGGGCGGGTGCGCCCGAGCCACGAGATGGAAGACTGGGACATAGAGACACGGCAGCACAGATGGTACTTCGATTGTGCTAGCCGCTTAGCCAGCGCAGTGATCGGATCAAGACGCAACGGTGCTTCAGAAGTGACTCGAGCAACCGGGAGACTCCTGGAACCTACTCCAGTCCTGCGCGCCTAACTACACTGTCAGACACGCGCATACTGCATGCGATCGGGCTGGCAATCGTGAAGGACACCATCAACGAGTACTGCCAGCAGCACTTCAATGGCAAGTTCGAATGCGTGCTTGCGGAAGGCAAGGGCAGGACAGCAGCATTCATAGCACAGCAAATTGTACTGCGGTGTTGCCGCCAAGCCATGCCAAGCCCTTCACTGTGTGTGGCAGGATTATGATCTCGAAAGTTCCAGTCGCTCAGGGCGACCTTCTCTTCGAGGCCAGAGGCCAAGTGCAGACTTGCACTACCTCCGCAGTGCATACCCGCAAGGAGCCGCCATTGCATATCGTGGCTGAAGACGTGGGAAACGAGGCAAGGATGCTTGTAAAAGTCTTGTAAAGCATGCTGGCCACAGACGTGCATAGACGGCGAGGCCTTCAAGCTCGTACAGCGATTATGCAAGGCAGCCGCTGTCTTATGCCATGCTAGCACTTGTTGTTTGTGTTTGCACAAAGACCAGAATCTGTGTGCCCAAGGAACCGTCCATCTTCGACTATGAGCCTCTGTGGTACTGGACCGCACTCTGCTCCCTTACCGAGGCCAGAAGTTTGTGCTAGCGGGTGGTGCAGCAAGTGAAAATCAAGAAGGCAGCATTGTTGCAGGAGCAGCTGTCACCTAAACCGAAGATAGGGTCTTTGAAGCCAGTGACAGCTCTGCAGCAACTTGTCTGCAGCTTGGGCAGCTCGGGTTCGCGGTTCCAATCTCGTCTCCGACCGTTCAACCCACTTCTGTAGACATTGAATCTTGCCCGGAGACCCGCTGGTCTACCCAGACCTGGTTGCCGGAAGTGCGTTTGAGTGCAAACCGGCGTTCTTTCATGTTCTTCCATGTGTGGGTATGTCGGCGGGCAGTTGCACTGGATGATTGCTTGTTTTGGCCCCGTCTGAGGCAGAAGCGCTTGCTCTGCTTGTTTCACGAGCCCGTCGATGAGGTGCACGGGGGGTGCCAGTGAAAGTGGGTCCACTACTGAGGGGGTCGTTGAGGCGTCTGATGCGGTGAAGAAATTGGTGAAGCAACTTGGCCTCTCCACACCGGCGGTTCTCGTCGAGGAGCTTCTGCAGGCGCATGTCAGGGAAGGATCAGCCGTGTATCCGATCTCAGAAAAGTGTCTGGGAGGCCTGGATCCTCAACTGCTACCTGGACTTGGATGTCTTGAGTCTGTTTGCCACTGGTCCCATTTGCTAACTTAGGTTTCGAGCATTCAGAGGACCCGCTGGGATACTCTGCATATTTTGCATCGTCCTTCGTGTCCCACTCCTGCGGAGCGAGACTCGCCAGCAGAGCCCCTGCGCTGGTGGCACTCACCCTGATAAGAAGTGGCATGTGGCTTTAAGGAATGGGATCTGGAGTGAAGGGGACGACGGGCTTCATATCCTCCGGGTGCAACTGGCGCAAATTGACACTCTGTTGCTCAGGCTGAGGGCTTTCCTATGCTTTCCTGGCTGATCTGTCTCCTCGTCTAGAACCCTTGTCAATGGGCAAGCGCAAGGCACTGTCGTTACTTTGAGACTTTGGGTGCTTAGGCTGCAAACTCTTTGTTTGAACCGCCATGCTGGGACATCGGTGTGCTTGGTTGAGCCTGTGACAATCTGCGGAACACAGCCCCCAAAAATCTCAGCCCCACTACAGCCTTGTGGCCTGCAGATGCTTGCTTTGAGGTCAAGGCTGTGGCCTGTGATTTCGGATGTCTTTTCGCCGTTTTTGTTTTGGGCGGGTGGAGGGCGGGCTTAAGGTTCAAAGGTCATCCTGGCCTCCCCCACACCGACACACACCGACACTGTCCTGAACCATCAGACCCGAAACCGTCCTCAGTCTTCGGCTGAGTCGAATTCAGCGAGCAGCACACAGCACACCATTTTCTATTCTGAGGTCAGCCAAAGCTATTACGACAGGTTTCCCTCCCTAAACATGGGATGAAATACACAGCGAAAGTACAGCAAGGGCCCCAGCACACTCCAGCTTCCCGCGCTATGTCCACAAGAAAGCAAGGGCGCGGATGCATAAGTCAAGAAAGACTATTTGATACCCTGCAACGTCAGCCGTAGCAGTGCTGATGTTAGTCGAGTCGTTCAGAAATTGCGGAATCGTGGTATGTCCTTAGTTTGACACTGGCTGGTTCCAGGAGCATAGCCAAAACCTGTTATGCTGGCAGTATTGGCTTACACGCTTACCCACAAGTTACATTCGCAATACACAGGTGTCAGTCAGGTAGTGTGGCTGATCAAACCTTGGTGATAGCCATGCTTCAGGATCAGAAATCTTGTCGTTCTTCGTCTGTCATAGTGGTAGCACTACAAGTAGTACAGGTGACATCATCAAAATCTTGGATGCATGTATGGAGTGCTGGGCGTACTACTGCAATCAACCCCATTACCAAAATGGTGATTGTTCAGAGGATTATGAATGCCCATACAGGCTTGGTAGTGTTCACTGTTCACAGTCCTTTGAAAAGACGACGAGGTGAGTCAGCATGGAGGCACGACTAAGAACTGTGTCGTCAACAAGCCGAGTACCTGTGTTGAGAACACCGTTACCTGAGTTGTGTGACTTTTTCTGGTTTCGATTTGTGCACCTCGGCCCCTTGAATTTGCCAGGCGCGCCGTGATATCGCTCCTGGGGACGAGGTTCGCGGCGCAGCAATATATCGTGAGGCTTCTTCAAAGAGCTGGCCAGGTGTGCATCTCGTACCTACCGGAAGATGTGCTCCTCCACTCTGCTGAGGAAAGAAAAAAGCTTCTCGGCTCCAACAGTAGTCAAACTGGCATTCTTTTGTGGATTCACAGCATGTAGTGTTCCCACTCATTTCATTCACTGTCACTGAGGGCATAGCGACTATTGAACATGCGAATGCACCGGTCTATTGCACCCGATGCCCTTAAGCTTTGCTCGACTGGAGGACTTGCATGGTAGGCCTGGTCTCGCTGCAGATTTAGAGCTCGTTCCCGTTTGGCGAGAGCAATATCGCCGCTCAGGTCCTTGAAGAGCACGAAGCAGTTTGACTGCACGTGCGAGCGGTGCGCGCCAGTGCCGCCAGATGAGGTACAAAATGGCACAAAGCATCATGCTGAATCATGCACTTTGGGGTGTGAAGACCGTCGAGGAACAGCTTGAAACCTTGAAGCCTCCGCTAATGAAATGCGAAATGGCAGATCCCGTTGGTGCTTCATGGAAGGTGGGTTGGGACCCTTGCCGCGGCTTTCGATGCCCGAAATGCGGGTCTTGTGGTGCCAGCTCCACAGATCCGACCACGCATGCGTCTGTCCATGTTCTGAATCTAGGACCTAAGTTGCCAAGGTCTTCCATCAGCTCGTGTGCCCTGCTCAGAGGCAGCTTGACAGTCTCTGTCCAACACTAGTCCGTCACTCGGCCTAGGTTTGAGGAGGGAAAGGGCCTTCAAGGACCTCTTCAAGGTACGGCGTGCAGAGAATGCAAAGCAAAGGTCCGTGCCCCAGGCCCAAGCATATGGATCGATCTCCAGAACTTCTGACACCATTCTCGTCAGGTATCTGCAGCGGATGCAAAGCGACTGCTGCGAGCCGAAGAGCTTCTAGAGGCATAGGAAACTGCTCTTTGTTGAATGGCTGATCCGATTGGTTGCTATGCTATGCAAGGAAGTGCGTTCATTTTGACGCTTGGGCTCGCAGTGGTGCTGCTCTGCCAGGCAGAGTTAAAAAAGCTGGATGCAGCCGTTGAGGAGCGGCGCAGCATCCACAAGGTCGCACGTGAATGTGAAGTTTCCTATCCTTCACCCTAGCGAGATGGAGACAGGAGTGTGCAAACGTGACGGGTGTTGCCGGCTCCGTGTGAGTCAGGTCTTGAAGGAAAATGATGTACAGCGGCTGCTGTCAATGATAGGCGACCATGAGGCCGGAAATTTGGAAGGGTAGTTGCACATGCACATGCTGGTGTTGCTAACGGAAGGGTGGCCTCGTTGGACCACAGCACTGGCTTTGCGACAGACTTTGGGAGCACTTGCAAAACTGGAGCAAGCAGGCACTTACGACGATTTTTCTGTGACTTGCTGCAGGCCAAAGGCTGCAAGTGAACCTTACACTTGCAAATGCTTGCAGGCTGGTAAGTGGTCTGATGAGCTGAGATATCTCGACCTGAGAACTGATTACCAGCGCAAGGCCCGTGGCCCGTCTTGAATGCTGAGCTTTCACTCGTCTTTGTTGTATCGTAGCTCTATGATCACGGCGGTTCAGCCCTGACCTTGCCGCCGTTCCCGTGGACAACCCGCCCGTGAAATAGCGGCTGTGCTGAACTCGATGGTGCCTCCGAGGGACCTATGGACGGGAAGGATGTAGCCTGGAAAGCAATCGCCAAGTTTGGGTCAAGGTCTCTTTCCATGCGTGAAAAGTGGCACCGACGCTTCAAATCTTCAAACACCTCGCTTGAAACTTGCAAGTCCTGGAATCAGCGCCGCGAGTTGGCTCGGGCGGTGCGAATCGGATCAAGCGAGCACCCGTGCGTACCATCCGCTCTGGGGTTTGCCAACACATATCTTCTTTCAGGGTTGGGACCTGACCTTGCCAACCGACACGTCAGTGTGGGGCTTGCCAACACGAGAAGTCTCCGGCTATTGAGTCTGGCCCAACCGACCGACACCTGAAGGTGGAAGCTGACATGGCAGCCACGATAGGGCCAGGTAACGGCTGTTGCGGCGCATGGCTTATTTATCTTGGCAAAGTGGGGTTGCAATATCGTGCACAAGAGCGACCGGGGGCGAAGGAGTGCTCACATGATCTCACATGTCACATGTCGTATTTACATCCCGCTTGCTGCGTGCTTCCGATGCGTATCGATGCCCGAAAGTCAGCAACTTGAAAGCCACTCCTTGAGCAAGAGAGCAGGCCTCACTTTGTCCCAAAATTATGTTCCGGGACGAGAGCCATCGAGCGCCCCAACTGCAGACATCTGAGGGAGCCCAGCAGTCTCCTGGACCTTGCAGGCGTACTTCCCTGGCCCTAGCGGAACACTCGCCTGGACTCTAGAACACCAGGCTGGACCGTAAACGCGTGCCTCACCCGCTGTGCATTGCGTTGTTCTTTGCCAGGCAGACCGACTGCTCGAAATGCTTGGACATGGCTCCCCAACCAAAAAGGCATCTCTGCTTTGTCTCTGCTATCTGCACCGGTTGACTGAACTGTGTGGAGGTGGATGCGCCCCAAGATGTTCGACAAAAGTTGGGCAACAGACTAGTGCCTATATATCAGGACACAAGCTGCTCTTGGAGCTTTTGCATCGTCCAAATTAATGACCCTGAATTGCCCTGCCGCAGCCAGAGGAGTCTGGAGCCATACTTAAATTGATGTTTGGAGCGCATCATGAATATTTCCGTGCAGTGCCTCACCGAGAGCTTTGCTTTGTCCAAGCCCCCTCCCTCCACTTTGCAAGTAAGGTCGAGAACAAGATCACCACCTCCAAGGCGTTCGTGCCGCTTCCCAAGTTTAAACTCCCCCTAAGCCCTCCTCTCCGTGACTTTCCTCTCTGGAAAATCTGAGGCCAAAAATCTGAGAGATGTGTAAGGACGTCTCGCTGAGAATACGGCTATCCAGATCGCAATGCGCGATAGACTGGCCTCTGAGCAAGCGAGAAAAATTTGGCCGACTGCCTCCAAAAGAATGCAGCCAACACAAGTTGCACGTGCCAAGAGCTCAGGCGACGCGCGATCACTGAGTCACCCGCGAAGGCCCCTGCCGTCGCCAAAGTCTTCCGCGGCCGAGCTTCGTCTCCTTGGACGTCTCTGGACACTAGATTCTAGATGGCGCCTGCAAGAGAGATCGGACCTTCGAAGCTTCACTTGCGACAACAAGTGGACCCGAAGAAGCTTGAGCTCAGTATTGCTCGAACCGCTTTTGGCGTCAGTCCGCTTCGACTGCTGGATGGTAAAGGGCTGGAGAATGGCATGGCTGCACTGGAGAAGAACCTGAATCAAGCAGTTCGCGAAGCCCAGGAACTGGAGAAAGTTTCCAAACATGTCCCAAGCAAGAGCATGCTGTTCGAAAGGCGAGGAGTAGTTTTGCAGGAAATCCGTGAGCTGGAGCACGAGCTCAGAAGTTACCACATGGAGAAGGTTCGACGTCGTGAACTGGGCATGGCGACGATTGGGATGAGATTAAAACGGGAACGATGGTGCATGAGCCGTGGCAGGCAGTGCCCTCAATCAAGTCTTGAACCGTTGACAAGCCATGCTGCAGTACTGTCCACGAAGGAACGACCGAGTTTCCTACAACCGAAGCTGCCTGTACTGAGTCCTTCACGGGTGAGGTGCTCCATGAGCGGTACAGATGAGTGAAACGAGCTTCTGCCGCTCATGTGGCAAGGGCATCTGAGACCTCGCGGCTGTCCACGAACGGCTGCAGGCAGCACAGACGTCAAAGACGTTGATGTACCTGCACTGATTGCTGCGGAGCGTGGTGAGACAATGGCAGCTACTGTATACAATGCGCAGATATCTGAAGCACATGGAACAACAAGTTCGCAAAGCATCAGAGGAAACCGCAGAAGCTCCACGATGAAAATCGGGTGGAACTTGTGCAAGCTCGATGCTTGCCATGTCACACCGTCAACTTCTTTCTAGTTGTCCCTGCGCAGGGCAAGATGCACGGCTTCTTGCGAATGTACTGGGTATGTCACCCAACTCGTCGCATTGCGACCTGAGCTTCGAAGAAATGGAGATGTCTCAGGCCAAGAAGATTCTTGAATGGTCGCCGCGTGCCTGGGTTTGAGTGGCAGGAAGCATCATGACATTGCCGTCGCACGAGCACAAGGCCATCTCCCAAGGAAGCTCTTGAACGTTGCATTTGGCTCAATGATCGTTATGAACTTGATGGCAGCGAGCTCAGGTTGAAAGCAGAGAGTTGAGGGCTGAAGTGCGCTGCTACAGAGGCCGCGACCCAAATGGCTACGTGGGCTGCATGTGGAGTATTTGTGGCGCTCGGCACCTGGTCGTGACATATCGTGGCAAAGATTTCCCGAAGTTGCCATTGCCTGGAGGTGCACGACATGGGTTGGAAGGAGCGGGAGGCAGAGCAGTGGTTTTCTGTCAGTGCCTTTCTGCTGAGTGGACCTTTGTTCAGGTGTTTGGGAAGATCCGCTTCATGAACTATGCTGGATGCAAGCGGTGCACTTACATACCTTTGTGCCACTGTGTGGTTGAGGTGCCCCAGGTCTGCCAAGCCTTTTTATTTGCATCAAAGACGCAGATTTTGAATTAAGTACGTCACCGTCTTGCATCAACTGAAATTTGCTAGCAAACAAAAACGTCGAAGCTCAACACCTTTGGAGCCCAAATGTGAGAGCGCCATGCCTTCCAAGAGCAGCGATTCGTGGCCTGCAGCTCAGATGGTGATGTTGCCATGATGCTAGCTAGGCATGCTTTGCTGAATGCTTTCGAGGAAATAACAGCAGCTTCTCTCGCACGTTGAGTGGACCCGCCCCATCTTGTTCTTGCTCTTTGCATGAACGTGGCAGAGGAGCGCTTACCATAAATATTTCCCGGATCTTTCATTGTGGCGTTGAAATAACACTCCTTGCCAACAGGACCCCGACTTTGCTGAGTTCGTGTCCTGACTCACATGTTTCACACGCAATCGCTGCACCTGCTGTCTGACACCATGCACCAGCACACTAGGCCGGTGAGAAGGAGCACGTCTTGGGCTGCGGCACGATTCGCGTGCGGACATATGAGGAAATCTGTGTTTCACCGGAGCGGGTGGTGGCAGCAGGAGAAGCAACCTGTTGCACCGTGCCGTTGAGCCGGTGGCAGGATTTTATGCAGAACGCAATCGGAGGAGTCGTCACCCGAGCTGCCAAGGATCCGCAAAGCGCACCTGGAAACTCGCAGGGTATGCAAGGTAAGCACTGCAGCGAAGCGCATGCAGGACCTCGCAACGTGGGCGATTGAGGCAACGGACTGCCACTGCAGAACAGATGTTAGGCCATTGTAACTTTGACAGGTAAGCCCACACGCGACATGGCATGGATGCCAAGCTGTGGAGCTGGGTGCCGGCTGCTGTTTGGTGAGCAGTGCACCATGTCAGCAGCGGTAGTTGACATTGTTTGCTGCTCTTCGATCGCTGCAGAATTTCGTGCAGAATTACTTGTCTGCTTGTGCTTCGCGTACTGCCTCTCGGCAAGTCGACGTCGCAAACCTGACAGGTAGCTTATCAGGGTACATGCGTAAGTTTACGCCGCTCTATGTCTAAATACCCTGCAAAAACCATTGAGCCAACCCGTCAGATTCGGTGTTGGAGAGTTTAGGGCCGGGAGTACGGGGTTGAAGGGTGCATTGCTTTGGAATCTGGCACTTCAAGTCGAAAGTGCGGTTGACGCTTTGAGGGTTTAGGGTTGAGGTTCCGATTTCTGATAGGTCGTGCTCGTGCAATGGAGGAACATGTCTTTTCCCAAGGAATTCCTTACCGTTCATATCCAAACCAACCAGCATCTCCCCGTTCCAAAACCAGCCGCAGACTCTAGCTTTACCACGGTTTTAGGCACGTTTCCCCAAAACCCTAAAGTCTTGGTACGGAGCTTTGCCTGCGTGTGCGAGTGTGAGAGTCGAAAGCCTTGGTACGGTTCTTGGATGGCTGGCGATGTCTAACTCCCCAGCACGGTTCCAGGATGTAGCGATTGTTGCGTCGGCTGTGTGTAGACAACCTTGATTTTGCCAAGGTGCTCGGCACTTTCCTATTCCCAAACCAACCGAAAATCTTGATCGATTAAACCAAGGTTTTCTGCACACTTCCAACGAAAACCTTGTAAGCTCAGCAAACCAATGAAACCAACGAGTTTTCAAGCCATGCTCGCTTGCCCTCCTGGACGTTCGTTTGAACTTCGTTGGTTTCGTTTGTTTTACCAAGGGTTTCCGCCTAATCCTATTCCCAAAAGAACCAAAAGCTTGGCAAAACCAATATTTCCTGCGCACAGACAACGAAACCTCGGTAATTAAGACCAACGAAGCCGACCAAGTTCAAACGAACGTCGAGGAGTGCGGGTGGGCTTGGTTTGAAACTTCGTTGCTTTGTTTTGCCAGGTTTTTGATTTTCGGGTCCAGACAACCTTGATTTATCAAGGTTTCGACAATCAGATGTTCATCGAATATTCTTGCCATCTTTCATTAACACCGCTTAGAACAGAATATGAGTCAGAGCTGTTCCCTAAGTGTCGGTTTGGTAGGCTAGGAATTAGGGGATCAGTTTCCACGATCATAAGAACAGACATGACGTTTTGGATCCGTAGCCATTTTGGCGATCAGCCGATCGGCCCGGATTTTCGATCGTCGGCGTGGGGAGCCGTGGATCGAGTTCCCAGCCTCAAGTGCCCCAGTTCGGGCTGCCGATTGGCATGTGGGGGCTATACACCCCTGGTCAGGCAAAGGCTCCTGACGACCCGGCGGCCCCGCCTGCCGCATCCGGCGATTGGGGGAGTGGTTGGGGGCACGACGATCGTCGTAGAGCAGCAAGATCCGGCTCGTAGCTCATTTCTGGTGGTCGACAACAGAGATGAGAGCGGATGATCAGTCCGTTCCAGAATTGGCTGGTGGACGAGATCATATCCAATGCCGCGAGCTCGAAATTTAACATATTCCAAATACTTTAAATCAAGCCAATTTGGCTCAAGGGCAGTCAAGCTCCGATGTGTAGAGGCTTTGCGGCAGGTAGAGCAAGTTGCAAACCTGTTTGCTTCGACTGCTTGCGCTGTCTCTGTCCAAGGCTGGGCCCGTCCTGAGTCATCTGAATTGTGAGAGAGGGATGGCTTTCGGGGCTTAACCACGGCATCAGAACAGGTTAGCTTTCGTGCCTTCTCCCGCCTTCGCGGCCCGCAGCCCCTCCCACGGACCGCAGCCCCTCCCACGGACCGCAGCCCAAGTCCCGTGGCCCGCGTCCTGCGTCCTGCGGCCCGTGCCCATGTGCTAAACGGCCACGGCCACAGCATCCACGGCATCCACGACTCGCAGGCCACAGCGTGCGGTCCCGCGGCAACAAACCACCAACAGCAATAGCAACAGCGACAGCCTCATTTTGCGATTTCGGTTCATCATACTGTACATCTCAAACGCACCCCCTCATTTGGCGACTCTGGTTCATCGTAGATCTTGAACAGGTGGGGTGGGGTGTGGCGGTTTATGAGTTTAGGGTGGGGTCCAGGTGCAGGGGTTCTGGGTTTAGGTGTTTTTGTCCTCCTACAGCAAGGTTGAGGGTTAAGGGTTTCTGGGTTTAGGACTTCTGGGTTGCGGCTTCGAAGGGTCTCCAAGGCGTACACACCACCCTCACCACCCTCACCACCCACACCACCCTCACCCCCCCGCACCCCCACCACCTCACCGCCCATACCACCATTTGCTTGTAATTCCTTAGTAATACCAACGGCGTCTCTAACCGACAAAATAGGCGGTCACAGATTGGGAACTCGTGTTTGGAACACGTGTTGGTATAAAGCCGGGTTTACTGCTAGAAAACCGGGTTTTCTTTGGATGTCTGAGATTCAGGTGTGTTTGACACTTCGGACAGGTGGGTGTACTGGCTGGTACTGACTTTAGGTTGGGGGTTATAGTGTTTATAGGCATTGTGCAGAGCAATCCGGATGCAGCAAAGAGACCGTAGGCGGAAAACCACAACAGACGATGAGATCGGCATCGCCCTTTCTATGGCAATCCTTATAAAGCCTTAAACCCCCGATTCCACTCAACAGCTTCCAGGTCGCCACAGGCTGTTTCGGCCAGTTTGTGAATCAGCTCGGTCCCAGGGGGTTGTGCTAAACAAACGGAGTTTACTCTGCACGAACTCTTCTTGAATATAGATAGTTTCCTCAGAGTTTACGCTGGGTATAACAGTATTATGAGCAGAATATTGGGTCCTCGGGGTATTTGTGGCTTGTATATCGGAGTTGTATATATGCCTCCATACTCTACAAGACCTGTCACATCCCTGTGCAAGTTCGGGCACACTACAATCAATGTGGGTCCTAAGCAGGTCGAAGGTGAGGCCCTGGGGCACACTACAATCAACGTGGGTCCTAAGTAGGTTGAAGGTGAGGCTTGATCATGATGGCAGCACATGGCAGCCATGTGCAATGGCACCGAAGTTTTCTCCGTTTTCTCCATCCGCAAAGAGTCAGGTGCTCAGCATTGTCCTGCACAGGCTTCGGTCGCGATGAAGATCACTTCCATCTCTCTCGTTCCCTCTCTCTCTCTCTCTCAGTCTCTTTCGTTTTTTTGAGCGCCAAGAGACAGAGACGTGCCCGTTGCTCGAAGCATTTAGGCTTGATCTTCGGTACAGGGGGGGTCGTTTCTTTCAGCATGGCTTCCTCTTCGTCTTTGGGGTCGTCGGAGGGTGGCTCATGCGACCTGACCGGTTTGGCGGCCTTTTGGGGTGGGTTGACAGAAGTGCGGGAGCAGCTCAGATCTGGTGCTCCGTTATTCTCCGAAAAATCGGAGAAGAACATGGACATACGAACTCCATCGGCCCATGTTCCTATCCTCAAGCCAATCTTGCAGATCATGACAGAGAGCAACAAAAAGCTGCCCAGCATAGACGCCTTGAGGGAAGAGGTGAAGGCTCTCTATCTGTTGAACCAG